GCCCGGGAGCCGCGTCGGGCACCAGGCTGGGGGAGGGGGAGGCGCTGGCTTCCTAGGGCTGCGGTCTCCGGGCAAGCAAGTGGGGCTGGGAGCGTCCTTCAAAGCCAGCCCTCCAAGAACAACGGGCGTCGCCACAGCTCGAGCTGGGGGGCGGGAGGGCTTCCAGGGGTGCCCCGGGGCCCAAAGGGGCCGGAAAAGTTTGCTGGGGTCAGGCTAAAGCAAATCGCCAGTTAACCCGCACTTGCGAGGGGAGGGGTGGCTTGTCGATGTGATGCTGGATCCCATACAAGCTCCGGAGCTCGGGGAGACAGGCTCTCTAGCCGCGAGAGCTGGGCTACAGGCAGGCACCCCAAAGACTGAGCCTGGGGGTAGACATGTCCGCATAAAAGGGGTGTGTGGGGAGGGGTGTTCCGGACAGAGCTCACACCGTACCGGCATGTGCATTTCCCCTCATTCACCTTGGGGTTGGGACCAGGCCTGAGAGAGTCCAGCTGGCAATGCCCCTCCCCCACAGCGAGGAGGGCAGTGGGCTTGACACTTCAACCATGGGCCAAACCCTGGCTGGGCCGAGTGCCTGCCTCTGAGCGCTGGGAGCCGCAGGTCTCCAGCCCCGGCAGGCCAGAAGCGGCCGTTAGCGCTGGCGTCTCTAGGCCTGGCGCTTGGGAGGGAGAGGCTTGACGTGGGCTCCGTCGCGGAGCGCTGAGTGGTTTGCGGCTCTCAGCTGTTCCAGGACCCCTGGATCCAGAGGAAAGCAGCCACAGTGGTGGCTGAAGGCCCCGGGTCAGCCACCTCCCCAGCTGGGTTCATCAGGGTCGCGGCAACCGAGTTCTGCTTTGAGCCCAGCCCGGGCTCTGGCCGGGATCTCGACCAGGCTGATCTGAGGTGGCCCAGATGTGGCGGGGCAGAGACCTGGGTGAAAGTCTGGAGCATCCCGCCCGGGTCAGGTTCCCAGCTGCTGCCTGGCGAACGGGCTGAAACAGGCCCAAGTAGGCTTTCCCGCTCTGAGCGGCTGCCAGTTCCCTGCCTATTCATCCAGGACTGTTCCCTTCCCTTTGCTTGCAGTGTCTATTTCGGGCCATCCTGCTGGCCGGATTGGATTCATCACATCCGGAATGGCAAACAACTTATTGTCATTCAATCCTCTTTTATCCTGTGGGCACCGGGTGCTCTGCTAGGTCCTAGTGCCCACCTTGTCCAGTCTCCTCTCTTCTGAGCTGAAGCTCCCCCACCCCCTGCATTATCGCTGCTGAGTGCTAGATTCTAACAGGCCCTGAGCCGCTCTGCTGAGTCCCAGTGAGCTAGCAGGTCTGGCAGTGAACTGTAGTCCCTTGTCCAGTAAGTGGGTGTCCTGGATCCTGTCTGCCAGATGTCAGTGCCCAGCAAGATCCTCCATCTTACTGGTAGATCTGGGTGCAAAGTCCTGTCCATAGGATCCTATTATCGCTGCTGAGTGCTAGATTCTAACAGGCCCTGAGCCGCTCTGCTGAGTCCCAGTGAGCTAGCAGGTCTGGCAGTGAACTGTAGTCCCTTGTCCAGTAAGTGGGTGTCCTGGATCCTGTCTGCCAGATGTCAGTGCCCAGCAAGATCCTCCATCTTACTGGTAGATCTGGGTGCAAAGTCCTGTCCATAGGATCCTTGTGTCCTGGCCTTGCAGGCCTCATTGGCTCCCATGTCCCTTATCCTGGTCCTGCCATCCCGGTGCTCTCCCATTTCCTTTAGGATACACACCATGAAGGCTGCTAGAACCCAATGTCCTGAAAACTGCTGCTTTTGCCCTCCCATCCCACCCGCTGGCTCTGCTTCCAAAGCCTAGGCACTCCTCTCCAGCGAACTCCTGCTGCTGTGCCCTATGGGACACGGATCCTACCTTCCAGTGCCTCTTGGGATCCAGAGTGTGGTGCACAGCCCTGGACTTAGTCTTGCTCACATGCCCTGGACAAAGTCCCCCCCCCCCAATACAGCCTGTCCTCCGGGCTCCTGCGCTCCAGGTTTGCTCTGTGTGGTTCTACCTGTGCAACTGGCTGGCTCGTTCTAAGTCCAGCTCTCAGGGCTCTAGCTGTCCTGCCTGCATGCTAGCAGCGCAGTCTGTGAGCCTACGTGTCTTCCCTCGCCGGGACTACCCTGGGTTCTTTAGGGTCAGCTGTTTGCTCCCATCTCCAGGGTTGGGAGTTGCTCAGCAACCCTCTTGGATTGGCTAACTAGCTTCCCTGCCAATCCCACCTAAAAACTCTGAGCCCATGGAGTCATTCCCTATTCAGGGCAGCAGCTCGTTCAGCCTGTGCATTGCAGAGTGGGCAGGGTGACGTGTGCTTTGTCCTGTCACTCGCTGGATCTTATTGCCCTTCCCCAACCCTCAGCTCATTTCTTTTGCTCTTCTTCCTGGCTGCCCCTCTGACTAGAGACCACCTGTGGGGAGCCCCACATCTACTGTCAGTGCTGTCTCGCCTGGCGCACTGGCCAGAACAGGCCGCTTCCCTCCCCTCCCCGTGGGCCTGTGGCTAGAGAAGGCATCCTATGCATTTGAGACCGCTTGTCCAGCTGAGCAATACGGAAAAGCTGCTGTTTGGCAAAGGCATCCTGGCCGATCTTAAGTCTCTTTAAGAAGCTGGTCCTACCCCTTTTCCTCCATAAGTAGACTGGAGATCTTAGCAGCACAATAAGATGCAATGAAATCCGATTGGTTGCCTTTCTTCCTTCGGGGGGCCTAGAACAGGACCCAAGTAAGTTCCCTTTGCTCTTGTCTTCCCTAGCTCTACTGACCTTGACAGAACCATCTGCTCTCCTCGCTCGGGCGCTGCGTGGGTAGTAGTTCCCAGTGCCTTCTCTGCCACCCTCAGACTGGCTTACTAAACGTGTCCAAAGCTGGTGAAGAGGGTCAGTATTTAAATAGCTTCCTTCTGCAGAGCTGTGGGCTGTGAAACCTCCATACAGCATCTGTTGCCTGTAGTACTTGCAAGATGAGGACAGGTTTGCCTAAGAATGCCAGAAAATACTGCAGAGCAGCCCAGCTGCCAATGGGAAATACATGCTGTTGATCTAGGGACCCCCAGTAAAGTACAGTACAAGATGATGACTTAAAATGCTCTAACCCTGGCTGGGGTTTTTGGGGTAGACATGAAACCTCTGGGGGTGGTGTTGGGTCACTCCCTGTACCCCGCTTTGCACTATGGGAACTATCTAGCTTTGCTTCTCCCTGCCCCGAGTCTAACTGAAATGCATAGGTACATAAATCTTGTACACATTTGTCTTCCTCTTCCCTGAGGACTGCCTCTGTTCTGTGGTCCCGGTGTCTTGCTCAGATTATTGCTGCTCCTACATGTCCTACCCAGGTCCAGAGAGCATTTATCCCCAAAGCTGAGTCAGCTGGCACAGATGTTCCGTCTTTCCCAGAATGTTGGCTTCACTTTGAAGCTTCCCTGAAAAGCATGGTGGGAGCCATGGCGGAATAAAGGCAGAGTGTTCCCTGTGCTGCAAAGAAAATCAGGAAGTACCACTTCCTGAGCGCACAACTCTGGCAGCCTGGCTGGAGGTAGCATCTCCTCTGGCAAACCCTGATTGCCTGGAGCGGATCTGCTTGTCACGGTTTGGGGGGAGGGAGGGGAAATGGTTTGAGTGCTTATGAAGGAGGTAGGCATGATCTGGAACATGTCATGGGTACGAATGGGGATGTTCCAGAGACCCCAGCAAAAATCACCAGGAAACACAAATCTGAATCCAAAGCATCTGAGCTGGAGACTAACTTGCCTTGTCCATCCCTGGCCTGATCCTTAAAGGACGTGTTCAGCATTTTGTGTAAGTCAAGGGGTGGTGGTGGGATGGAAACCCCAGGACAGATCTGCCCTCTGTTGCCAGCTCTGTCCTAGGCTTTCTGTGTGGCTTAGGCAGAGGTGTGAAGTGACTTATCCAATCAGTTGCCACTTCTCTAAAGCAGGGACATTGGAGTTAAGCGCTTGGAGCTCCAGGGCTTGGAGGCACTAGCAAAGATCAGAGGTGTTGGAAGTGGGGGGTGCTTTTGTGTCCCCTGCCGGGGTCCTGGCCACCAGCCCTGCTGCTTCTGAGGGTCACAGCTGCCAGCCCTGTGGGCTCCATTGCTGGCCCCAAGGTCCCACCCCTCCAGAGGCTCCATTGCTGCCTGGGGTCCCATGGCTCTGCTGCAGGTCCTGAGCCTGGGGCTCCACTGATGCCCACATTTGCAGCCCCAGCCTGGGATGATGAGGGGTGTGTGTGTGTGTGGGGGGGGGCACAGCTCAGCACCCCCTCCTCAAAATTGTTTCAGCACCACTGGCAAAGACCAAAGTGTTGCTCTTTGCTTCATCCGCCACTTGCCTTGGGTGAGTCTGACATTGAAGTGTTCCTTACTATCCAGACTGTCCTCCCTGCCATGCCCAATGGGACCGTTCCCCTCGTTCCCTGGTGCGCATGCCCCTGCGGGAGCCTGTCCAGGCTCTCCAGCACCCATTGTGCCCTGGCTTGTGCGAGTGCTGTGCTTGCAGGTGTAATGCAGGTGTCTTGTCTCCCACTCTGTCCCTCTTCTCTAGGGCTTTCTGACGTGCCCTGATGCCGCAAGCCCCTGGCGTTCTCCAGCGTGGCTGAACTCCCCAGCCACGGGACAATGGATCCCCCTGCTGAGGACTTCCCCCAAGTCCTCTCCATTGGCCAGATCCACTCCATCCGAGCCAGCAATGACTATGTGGAGAGACCCGCCGTCTCCTTCAAGCAAGCCCGGTCCAGCCCTTCCCTCTCCCAGCAGGCCCACAAGCAAGAGTGGGCTCAGGACTGCCTGGTGTCTTCCGCCTTCCAGGACCTGCACCGCAGCCACAGCCAGCACCACCAGATGTCGGCCCTGCCACAGCACCTCAGCCATTCCAGCACAGCCAGCTCCCTGTCCCACAGCACCGCGGCCTCGGACCAGCGGCTCCTGGGCGGCGTCACACCCTCGCACTCGGGGCACTCCCTCGTCTGCATGCAGCCCAGGGCTGGCGACCTGAAGCCGGAGGAGCCGCTCAAGGGGGCGGTGGAGAAGGCCACTCTCCACCCCGGACACCTCTTCATCTGCGAGGAGTGTGGGCGTTGCAAGTGCGCCCAGTGCACGGCTGCCCGCAGCCTGCCGTCCTGCTGGCTCTGCGACCAGCGCTGCCTCTGCTCCCCCGAGAGCCTGCTGGAGTACGGGACTTGCTTGTGCTGCGTCAAGGGCCTCTTCTACCACTGCTCCACCGATGACGAGGACACCTGTGCCGATGACCCCTGTTCCTGCGGCCCCGGGTCCTGCTGCGCCCGCTGGGCTGCCATGAGCATCCTCTCGCTCTTCATGCCCTGCCTCTGCTGCTACTTCCCCACCCTGGGCTGCCTCAAACTGTGCCAGCGGGGCTACGACAGGCTGAAGCGCCCCGGCTGCCGCTGCCAGAGCCACACCAACACCGTCTGCAGGAAGATCTCCTCCGCCAGCGGCGCGCCGTTCCCCAAGGCGCTGGATAAGCCAGTATGACCTTCCTGGGGAGGGGACTGTCTCCTTTGGCTCCTGCACTGCTCACCTCTCCGGGCACAAAGCAGAGACTAAATCCGCCAGCCCCGCGCAGGGCGTGGGCCAGGCCTGCGCGCCAGGTTTTGCACACTTTGGCAAGGGACCAGGGCGGAGGGACTCGGATGCTGACACGGGCATTAGTGATCAGCGGGAGGCTTTCAGCAGGGGAGCTGGCTCGGGGCTCTGACATCACGATGCCTTAGGCGCTGTTTCTCTGGTGGGTTTCAAATGGGGACCTGTCCAAGCACTAGAATCTTTGGGGGCCAGACCACAGAACCCATGTCGCTTTCACCCACTTTCTGTCTGCAGCGGTACCTCCCATAGGCTTTTCCTCCATTTCTGGTGCTGTTGGGCTCTAGATTGGTCCCTGCGAAGGGAGAAGAGCCACTGCAGTGCACTGACCACGGGCGCACCCCCCAGCGGAACAGAGAAAGCTCCTGACGATTTCTAGGTAGCCAGGGCAATAAGTGAGCCCAACTCCTGTTTCCAGGGGCGCTCTGCTCATAGAAGCAGGACCTGGCTAGATGAATCATGCTGGCATGGAAAAGGGGTGATGTGGACAGAACTGGGCCCCTCCTCCCACTTTGGTACATGACTGTTGTAACCGGTATGTCAAGGTGGATGTGGCTGAGAGCATGGCGCAGGTGGAACCTCCATCCCAGGCTGAGGGGCAGCGGGACTGGATCCCTGGAGGGAGTGTAACGCTCTGCTTGCAGAGCATCCCTCTTGGTGACTGGCGGATGACACAGTTGGTCTGTATTGAGTTGGTTTCAGTCCATCCATGGGTGGTAACCCTCCGCCGTGGGTGACACTCCTGTTGCAGGCTGAGCATTGAGACCCAGAGCTGGCTGGGCCACTAAGCCTGGCCTTCCTCCTTCCCTCTGGATGTTAGGAGAGGTACTTGAGTAGGGCAGTGGGTAGGAAGCTTGCCCGTCTGCCCTGCCCGGTAGATGAACAGGGGCCTCCTGTCTCTGGAGCTGCCAATCTGGTACCTTTCACCAGCACTGAATTCACTTTAAGGAATGCTAAACCGCAAACCATTGAACCAGCACTGAATTCACTTTAAGGAATACTGAACCGTAAACCATTGACAACCCCAACCTCCCTCCTCGTGCTGATACTGTAAAAGGATCATGTCATGGCTTGAGCCTGAAAACGGTGCTTAGCTGAGGCTTTCACTTTGGGCTGGGGGGAAGGGAGAGATGGGTGTTAGAGCAGAGTGGGGTGGATAACGCATGTAACTAGCCTTCCCTTCCCTCAGCGCCCTCGCTCGCCTCCAGTGTTGGGGGGCGAGAGCTACACGTGGGCACGGCGGCTGGGCAGCCCGGACGCAAGCCTGACAGTGACGTGGGTGTTCTGAGGCAGGAGACCCCTTCTCTAAACTAGAGATGGGCCGTAACCAAATCCACGGGTCTGGACGTCTTCAGCTGAGGGGGCAGGGGGAGGCTCGGCTCTGGGGCACGGTTCATGGTGCATAGTGACACCTGTCAAAGCCAGACTCCTGTCTCTGAACGTTCCTTGTCCTTGAAGTTCCGCTACAGCTTAGAATCCAAAGTATCTGGCTCAGACTCCTCTCAGCTGTAAGCCTGGTGCCAATGCTTACGACCTAGCGACTTGAGAAACGGCCTGTGGCACGAGAGCCGTGTTGGCCTTTCCCTGCTGTGAGCCCCCACCACGTCCACGTGCCTGAAGAGAAGGGGGCATAGAACCTTCCTGTTCCAGTGGAGTGAAGGGTCAGGAGAGCTGCAGGGCATGAGCTGGAGAAATGCCTGCAGTGAATTCTTCGGCTGTCCTGAAGCTTCCTCCCAGGCACTCCTCTCTAGGGCACAGACATCCATGCACCCATCACTGCTGCCTTCACTTCGCATTCCTTCGCTCTGCTTTGGTAGCTAGGCCGCTCTGCTGGCTAGGACTCTTCTAACCCTATTCGTGATATTGCTGTGAATGGTGCCCTAGGCAAGGTCTGCCTTCTGGTACATTTACAGCCTCCAAAGGAACATTGCCACTTGTGTCTTGGTCTGTAAGTAACTGGGTTTTTTCCAGGCTGTTCCAGCAGGCCTCTGTACTGAGTGGGAAGGGCAGGGCTAGAAGGCAGGAATTCTAGCCCTAGATGACCCTTTGCTCCCTGGTGAGTCTTACTGTTGGTGAGGGTCCTGCATTCTACCTGAGGCCAAACATGGTATGGGAGTCTGTGTGTCCCATTGGTTGCTGGGAAGCCATTTACATAAGCTGTGGCATCCCTGAGATGTAACTCACGATGACATTCAACTTCTAGCAAAGTTGGAGCAGAGTCATGAAGTGTTTCAATGCTTCCGAGTGTGCAGTTCCAAGATAGCAATGCTAGTCTGACCGGTCAGTGGAAAACCAGGTTTTCCTGGGAAGAGATCCACGGGCCGTGCGTGGCTCTGTGTCCATCCCCAGCTCTGTTCCATAAATTATACAACATATTGCAAATACATAGTCACACATGACAATAATTGGTCAGATTTATAACTCCAGTTGCTGCTGTCAGACAGAGTTGGGTACACAGAGACCTGTATGTAGTGGGGAAGGAGATTTCCAGCGTGAGCTGCACCTGACTTCTTTGCCAGCACCATTCACATTTCACCAGAGTTACAACAGAAAATGTTTGACACTTTTTAATGGAAAATGGCTTCTTCCAAAACTGAACTTCTTGTGGCAAGATGCCCTTTTTCATAGAAAAATGTTTTTCTGCATTTTAATAAGATGTTGGGTTCTTAAGTTTTTTTCTTTTTTCTTTCTAAAGTGAAAAACCCTTGTAACTCTTCGGGGGAGAAATCAAGCCTCGCCTCCAGCTCCCTGGTCAGCTTTGCTCTGCACGGTGTTCTTTAAAGGGGTTGGCATGTCCATTCAGTATGTGCCTTTCTTCCGCGACTTTCCACCCTTTCTCTCACTTGCTAATGGATTTGACTTCCTGAATGTTTCCAGGGACGGGAGTCATGACATAACGAGAACACAATGATGATCTCAGAGTGTTGGAGAAGTTGCTCGGTGTGAGGAAAGGCCTGATTTTTTTTTCCTCGTCCCTGGTCAGGCAACATACCTATGGAGTAGAAGTCTATGGGCAGTAGGCTTGGCATATAGACTGCAGGACTGGATTTCAAGCTGCTGTTAGAGGTACCTGGGCTAGAACAATTGGCTGGAGCTTCCTGGCAGGTCATGGTGCCTTCGGTTTGTGTTTTCTGCTGGGCCGGTATGACAGTTCCCCCCTGAGAGCCCACTGGCCCCTATGATGGGGCCATGGAGCAGGAAATGTGGTCTACTTCATGGCATTTTAGAAATACTTTGTAATTTGCCACTTTTCAGCAATACAGTCTGTAAAATATGGAACACGTGAGGGGTACCAGACACGGGCTGGAGCCACAAAACACCAGTACCAGGGCTTTGAGTGGCCCAGACGTAGTGTCCGTTGTGGAATTCAGAATCCGCTCCAGAATCTGAGCTGTCACCTCCTTCAAAGTTCAGATTTATTTGTATGCAGTTTTATTTAATTGGAACTCATTTCCTCTATTGGAAACAATCCATTTCCTGTTCCGGGGCAGGCGTAGCAGGAGAATCTGCTTACCAGGCAAGGACAGGAACCACCAACCCAGACTGTCTGGAGGTGAACAGGGTGGGCTACTGGGCTAACTATTAACAAGCAGCCCATCTTCAACTTGGGTCTCGCTAGGCCTTTCCTGAGAGCTTCCGCTTGGTTGAACTGTCATCTTGCCTGTCAAAACGGGCGCTTTGCCCAGCTGTGGCTCTAGTGTGGGGTGGGCCCCCGAGCTGCTAGGAGGGAGGAGATGACCACTGGCCGTGTGCAGCAGGTTACCGTGGGTTTAATACCCAACGTTTGATTCACTTCTGAATCCAAATGCAAGCTCCAGTTGCTCTGTCAGAGTAAGAGCTTTGCTGGGGGGCTCCCCCCATCTCTGTGCACCTGGGATTTCACTCTGGCTTAGTGCCAGAGTCTGGGTGTCAGACAGCTCCATCGGGGAGCTCTGGACTCAGTGCATGGGTGTTGTGCAGTGGATTTCACTTGCGAATGGAAAGGTGGCAGGAGAGGTTTTCACACTGGAATTAGAACAGGCTGGGTGCATTACAGCGTATTTGAAGGGTGAGACTTGTGTCAAAGGACCTTCAGCACCTTGGATCCTTGTAAAGGGGGGAAGATGCAGGGTCTGAGCTGCCTCCACACCTGGTCCCACTGTTGGAGCGGAGGCAAGAATGCGGGTTGTGGGTTCTTGCTTCCATCACTTCCAGAAAGGGAGACAGAACTGGCCTCTGCGTGGCTGCTGAGCTTGCCTGGGACAAAAGGGCCCTGGCAGAGCTGGGTCTCTACTAGCCTCTTGCTGTGTGTGTGCCGGGGCTCCTCTGCCCCCTCTTCTCCCCCCATGAGCCCCACACACCCTGCGGCAGCAAGCCCCTTGCAGCTCTCCTCTTGCACAGGAAGGGGAGGCACGGCGGAGTGATGAAGTGCCCCCTCCCATCCCAGCACTAGGCAGCAGGGGTGTGCTAATGGCCAAGAGCCACATTCCTTGTCTGGGTCTTGTCCAGCACCTGAACCACCTTGGCTCAGGCCAGGAGCTTGGCCCCTTTGAGCAGAGAACCTCCTGGGGCTGCTAGTGAATCTGAGCCCAGTCGTCGCTCCTGCCCCCACTCCACCCTAAACCCCCTGGCCTCACCCTTCTCGTCCCCCTTGTGGCCAAAAGCGTGCACAAGCCGTTTCATCCCAACTGCATTAGTACAATAACCCCCTCCACAAGCAGAATGGTCTCTTCCCCTCCCCCGTGCACGCCATGCTACAGCGCTTGCTCGCTGCCGCATTTCCAGTCTGACTGAGCCTGCGGTGGCTGGGGGCTCTGGGTGTCGCTGAAGTTCTGACGCTACTGCTCCGCCCATGAGGTGGGAATAGACACGCTCACTACCCCAGTCGATCTAGTTCAGGATCTCCTGCAGACGTAGTCACAATCCATTTCTGCTGCCTGCTCCCATGCAGCTGACGTACAGAGCCCCCCCCCCCCGGCATTCCAGAGGGCGCCTGCCTCCTCTGCCCAGGGGTCCTTTGTAGGGTGGGGCACCAGTGCACTGAGCCCGTGCTCAAACTCAGCCTGCATTTCTGCACCCACTTGAGAGGGGTTGTTTGTTGCTGCTACTCAGAAGATGCCCAAAGGGCACTTGTATCTAAAGAGGAGGATGGGCAAAGGGGCCATTCTGGTGTGGCGTGCAGTCAGGAAAGTCTTTGGGTAGGCAGCTGCCAAGTCAAACCAAGCCTCTTTCAAGCAGTCCCTTGCAGAACCCCTTTTGCGACCCCAACCATTGAATGGCTCCATGTGGCCCACCAGGGAATCCAGTTTTGCACATGGTGCTGAAGAAAGAGGGCCAGGCCCCGCTGCCACTGAGGTCAGCAGCGAGCTGCATGCCAACTTCAGTGGGCGAGGGACGGAGCCATCATCCGCAAACTCAGGGATCCGTGGGGCTGCAGCTTTGGTTGCCCACCTAGCACCAGGGCCTAGCTCATATGCACACTGAAGCCCTGGGCTGTGTTAGCCTCGTGCCGGTAGTGAGGAGCATTGTCTCTTGTGTATGCAGCCCCGTCAGCTCTCCCCACTGCTGCTCCAAGCTCCCCCTCCCCGCACAACCTTTGAGCAAAGGCTCCCTCGCATGCTCTGCGGCCTCCTTCCCGCCCCTGCGGCCAGGAGCACAAACTCCTGTGGAGACTCATTCCAGCTTGGCTTCAGCGGGATGCCTGTGCCAAGGCCCAATGCTTCTAGCACTCTGTATTTGGTACGAAAGGCATCCTGGACAGTGTCTAGCGAGCCCCTCCCCCAGCTGCCAATGGGTCCCGTTCCTGGCTCCCACCTGGCCAGCAGCCTGCCTGGGTTCTGACAATACTCTCATAGCAGTTCTGAAAAAATAAAGTATTTATTTGAAAAGTTTATTTTAAAGATAAAAAAGTTACCTATTTATTTTAAAGCACCCTCTTCTGTTTGGTTTCCTTCTCTTGCAAGCTCACTGTTAATGAACCACTGCTG